ATCTGGGGCTTCTATCGTCCAGGAAGTAGAACCAAGCTCCTGGGCGTTAATGATGTCTAAAGAGCCACCTGCAGGCGAGGGTGCTGTAACCTTGTGTGCTTGCTCCTTTCCAGTGCAACTGTACGAAGGTGAAGCAGTTTGTGGGCTCAGAGCTGGGGCACTACCTCACCAACGTGAGCTGGGCCGCAGAGCTGTGCAGCCTGCAGCTCTGCGGGGGCCACGGCCGCTGTGTGCGGAGGCGGTGGCGGTCCCCAGACTATCTGCACCTTAGCCCGGCCAGCTACCGCATCGAGGCCTCGCAGGACGGCGACTTCACCGTGAGCGGCACAGCGTCGCCTTCCGACCTGGACGCGATGGCGCAGAAGTTCTCCTGCCATTGCTATCAGGGCTACGGAGGGGCTGGCTGCAGGGCCCTGGGGCCGGCTGGTGGCGCAGCGGGCGGGTCGCGTGTCCCTGAGCCCCTGATAGCACCAGGTCTGCTGGTCTTAGCGCTCCACTGGGGCGTCCAGCCCTGAGACAGTGGAGCGCCCAGGAAACCGTGGCCCCTCCAGGGACCTAGATGAGAGACACAAAGTAGGAGCGTGTCTTTGAGAGGTATTCTAAAGTAGCCATGTATGTCACTGAACAGAAACAGCCACAGTACTTGATTGGGCTCGTTTGCCTAGAAACCAGACCCAGGTGCAAAAGCAATGAATTCTTCCTTTCTGCAATGTTTAAGTTATAAGACCGGGCTTCAAAAAGTTCTTGGCAAAACTCTACTACCTTTTAATTCCATTCTTCTCCATGGATTCTTTGAAGCCCCCTCATATTACTGTGTACATTTCTATTGTTTGTCCTCCTGGGAAGTGGGCTATATATCCAACCTTGTGATGGATTCCTCCTTTCTCCCCCTCCCCCACAACCCCCACCACCCTCTTACCCTCATGATATTGCTCCTCTTCCTGAGGGTGTTATCTGTCCTAAATTCCACGTGTCGAGAACTCTTATCTGTACCATTGTGTATACTCCAGTCTGGCCGGATTTGTAAGGTACAACTGGGTCATGGTAGTGAGGGGGAGGAAGCATTCAGGAACTTGAGGGATGATGTGTGCTTCATCAATGTTATACTGCACCCCAGTTGAATTGTCCCTTCCTTGTAACCCTTCTGTGGGGGGATGTCCAATTGTTTACAGATGGGCTTTGGGTCTCCACTCCAACCCCCCCTCATTCACATTGATATAATTGTTTGCTTGTTATCTTTTGATACCTGATGCCTGATCCTGTGGACACCTCATGATCACTCAGGCTGGTATGCTTTTTCCATGTGGGTTTATTTGCTTCCCTGCTAAATTCTGTTTAACTTCAAGTCTTAAAGACACTATATTTTTTGATAGCTGGGAACTATTCACTTTCTTCACCACATTTACTTAGGTACCCATTTTGTCGTCAGCAATCATGCCGGGAAGGTGAATATAAAATCGTGTCAGGTTATTAAAACAAAGTTTTTTGTGTTTAGGGAGGCCTTGAGTAAAGGGTCAATGTGTGTCTGCTATCTTAATGCTTAACATATAAATATATGTACATTGGTCTCTATAGCTTTCATTATAAATTAATATTTTTACATATATACATGCCTTTAGCTATATCTCTTTAAATAGCTTTTGCTTCTTACTTCTTTCGTTTATTTCCTGCCACCTTCCTCCTGCGCTACTATCATGTTCACCCTCCACTCGGCTCTCACTAATGCCTCTTGGATACATTTCACTTCATCAAACCCCACCAGAAGCCTCCTCAACATAATTTTTAGATCTCTTGTTCCCTCATCCCTGAGTTTGTTGGCTCCCCAATGCCCCTCCCTGCGCCATCCTCTCCCATGTTCCCCTGGGACCACCGTCCTGTTGTTTTCTCCTTGGGATTGTTTGTCCTGCCACGTTTGTGAGTTGTCAACTTATTTCTCAGACGTCAGATTGAGAATACATTCGAGCTTCACATGGACATGCTCTCTGTCTTATTTCATCATGGTGCTTACAGCACAAAATGTGCCTCGGCAGAATAACAATATGGGAGAGCTTCAATGAACTCGTTCAAATATCCCCTTGTCCTTTCAGGCCATTTCTGCCAAACCTTTTGCACAACCCTGGCATAATAAAAAGTTTGTGCTTTAATTTATCATGGCAACAAAGTTATCAGGCAATATAAAACATCTCATAAGTAATTCAAACTTCTCCCTGGGTTAGGCACAGAGTTATATTTATTTTGAAGTGCTTCTTACTGTAAATTCTGTGGCCTCCTGATGTGGAGAGAGAGCAGCTATGGTCAGAACATTTCCAGTTTCCTAATCAACAGTGAACAAACTAGGGTAAAGCGCAACTTGTCATTTTATCACCTTTATTTATTTTGAATGAGTGCAGAGAAACAACAATTGTTTAATTCATTGAAAACACTTAGACTATGGATGGGCTTTTATTTCTTGGTGTTGTCTGATTATTGCATTTGAGAGATTTGGCTGAAGTTACTGTGTTCTTTTAAACACTTAAAACTATAACCAAAACGGAGGCAATAACACATACAGCACATTTGATGAAACTGTCAGTATTACCTGCAGCTTAGATTTTTTTAAGCTGTAGCTATTTTATGTTGGAAAGTAGACCAAATAACAAACCATCCATAACTAAGCAGACCAATATCTTTTGTCAACCATAAACATTTATAAGTATCTAAGGTACTAATTCTATACAAACTAGGGAGACTCTCACAGTTCTGAAATTACATTAACAACTGGGCACCTGGGTGCCTTTTGAAGTCTTGTTGTGCTCTTTGGAGATATCTTGTTAGCTGCTCTGATTTGTTGTAATTTTTATTATTAAGCATCTTTTGACGGTGATTTCTAAAGTTCTTGCCTCCACCCTCTTAAAATATTTTGAAGCTGAAGAGCACACTCTTCCAAGCAAACACTTCTTTGAATAATCAAAGCATTCTCCAAGTGAAGTTTTGATTCCCTTCCTGAGCCTTCTGGGTTGGCAAGTCTCAGGAACACTCCCATTCTGTCCTTCACTGGCCAGGTTCTTGATTTTAGGTCATTACACTGCTGAGTGACTGTTCCTCTTGTCTCAAGTGAGAACCACAGGACCCTTCTGGCCTCCTCATTGGTGGTGAGGAGACACGCATACCTCCCTGGTCTTCTCATCCACATGGGTAAATGTGCTCAAGATTTTCTGTCATAGTTTAGAAGGACAAAACTAACTGGATTTTAATACAGATCTGCAATGTCATTTAATTGTAATTTATTTTTCTTTTGCAATGGTATCTGTTGCCATGTGCTTGATGTTGACTTTGTTGATGTAACAATCACCACCGTGACAGAGATTTTTACTGAGAGCTTATATTTGGTAATTTTAGTTAAGAGAAGTCGGCTTGAGTCTGATATTGAAAAAAGGAGTTTGCTTACCATTGCTTCTTGGTTTTCTGGCACCATGTAAAAATGAAGTATAACCTGAAGAAATTTCACTAGCTTCATGTATAAATACCAGACCGAAAATTATCTGGATTCTATATTCATATTGTGTTTTTGGTTCAATAGATGTTAACTTATTCTATTGCCCCCACTTAAAAAGACTATTTCAATAGGGTGGAGGGAAAGACAAAGTGAAGTTTGGATGACCACCAAGATTGAAAAGGGCAGTAACATTAATGAAGCACACACTAGAGCTTGAGTGAGTTGAATCTGAAGAGAGCATCCTGACTTCATGAAGACTTCCCCGTACAGCTGACCTCTCAGAGCCCAGGCTGGTGAAGGCGCCCAGAACCATCATCAACTAGCTGCACTGCAGTGGGGATTTGTTAAATATCAGCTTTTCTTAATGACATGCTATTTAGATTTTTTTTAATGTTTTGAACTTCTTAGGGAACACTTCGATACTAGCAGGCCTATGATTCATTAAATGGTGCTAAGCTTTTCCTCCTTTAATACATAAGGTTCATAAAACAACCCTACTGGTATTCATCCTGGTGTTCCTGTATTCTACTCCATCCCATTCTTTCCCAATCCTTTTCCAAAGCTACACATTCCAGGAGAAATAATACTGCCCAAAGTTTAAATCTAGTGTGCACCATGTCTCTCTTTCATCATATCAATGGGGTTTCTGTGTTAAGATTATATTGAAAGCTATAGTCACCACAATAGTTTGGTGATTAGTAACCTAGTGCATCGCCCCCTATGACGCTGGGGCTCCTGCCATCCCTCTTTTGAATGCCAGTACAGACTCCCATGGGGAACATCTGTCAGTGGAGCTTCCAGATTAGGAAAGCCTAGGAATGTTGTCAGGAGGGACACAAGTCCCTGGGGAAGAATGTCAAGCTTGGTCAGGTAGAGGGTCAGTAAAAAAAAGTAAAAGACTTTCAATGAAATGGATTGACACAATGACCGCAACCATGGGCTCAAATATAACTATAAATGTGCAGATGGCACAGGACTGCACAGGCTTTTTGTCGGTTGTACCTATTGTTGTTTTGAGGAAGAACTGTGTCAATAGCACCTCAACACAATAATCTTTATATATTTCAAGTATTTGGGGTTGATATTGGAAACATCTAGCTGTTAATGATTCACTAAATTTCCAGACCTGCCTTTCTAGGCTTTATTAATCTGGAAGCTTCACTGAAACTTGTTCAACATGGAAGCCCCTACTGGTTTTCAAAATATGAGTGGCAGAGGCACCAGTGGCATAGGGGGCTACACACTAGGTTGCTGAGCCCCCAAATACTGAAGACATATATTTCAGAATAATCGTAGCACAGAAACTTTTATAATATAACAAAAGAGCTGACAGGTGGCTTACTAGATGTAAATATAGGACAACATTATTTCTTCTAGAATACCTAGCTTATTCAATCCTGTCTATTTGCATTTACTCTAAACTATAAGAAATACATATTTTATGAGATGGGCAAAAGGTTGGTCTTGACATTTTTGAAGCCATAAAAGAAATATTATAAGGGTATAACTGCTATACGGGGTCTGGGGCAGGGCAGGAACTATCGTCACTGTGTTGGCTCCAACCCAGAATGACTCTGCTGTAGACTGAATGTTGCCCCACCCTAGACCACCCATCTTCTCTATGATCCCAATGTTTGAGTCCATTACTGTAGTCACTGTATCAGTTCACCCATTCGTTGGGGGATTTTTCTCATTGGCTCAGTATAATGAGGTTAGCAGTTTTTCTCAAGTGTCCCCTAAGAATTTTCTCCACCCACCCCACCACCCCACAGCAGATTCTGTACACACATACACTCCCAACTTTCTTAATCCACCTTGTCCCCACATTCCATACTCCAGGTGACTGAGCTCTAGTGATTGTCTTACTGATTATCAATTGGTGCCCTGGTTATTTAGTAGCTGCCTGATGTTTGTTGATGACAGACCAATCTGGTGACTCCTTTCTCACAAAGCAACACACATACACTTCCCCACAGCATACATTTTAATGACACTAGCAACTGTCAGAAAAATTTTAAACATGAGGTGCTTGACATTCAT